TTAAACTGCTAGTCTTTGCCAGATTTTGTATTAAACAGCAGTTGCCTACTGTGCAATACTGCAGTTAGTCATGTATATGTGGGGTGTAGGAGGTGTGCACAACCAATTTGTATATGGCACTTTTGACAGCAGCTTGAGTTGTAATGGCCATGGGGCAACTTTTTGCTGCAATAAATCACTATTTTGTGCATATACCACCTCTGCAATACAAGCAAATGTTTTGTTGATACCCTCAACACAAAGACCAAGCATTCATGGGTAATTCCACAATACATTCACACCTCTCAAAAAGAGGAATACAAGTTAACACCTTTCTCCTTCAGTTGTTTAATATATGTCCTCAAACATTTTACTATGATAGAGGGGTTTGTCCTGCTTCCCTCTTGAGATGACAGCAATATCCTCTGTAGTGGGGGGTCTGATATTCTGTCTTAATAATCCTCACAATGGGTAATTCCAGAAAAGATCCATACTCCCCCCACAGAGGAAATTTCTGCCATCCAGAGGGGGAAGGAAGAAAAAATTGTTTCTGATAATAGTAAATGTATTAGGACTTCCTAAGGGGGTAGGGGGTTAACTTCCTAATTCCTCTGTGGGGGTGGTATGGATGTTTTCTGGAATGACCCAATGATAGACTAGCTAACTATGACAATATATTTAAACATTACTCACTTTTCTTATTTAGGTTGAAACTTTAATGTGGACAAGAATGAAACACAAGGTCTTTGGAGGTTCAAATAGCAGGAGTAGTGGTGTACTGGCCAGGACCAGTAGTACCCCCTAGTAAGAGTGCCCCTAGAAGTTTCAAGATACTGAACAGCAGAGAACAAATTAGTCATAGCCAGTGGGGCAACAAAGTTATTAGAACAGTTTAGATTTTAAAATAATTTATTGTAATTAATTATTATTCTTTGAAAAAGTTAAATTAAATTACTTCAGCTGTGTACTGTGTTATAAATGTGGGATAATTTTGCAAAGAAAAATGCATGTGAAATGACAAAGAGAAATGCACAAAAAATACTGAATTTTAAGGGTGCCTGAAGTACAGGGTGTACCTTGTGTGTGGGGTAGGGGGTTGTGCAACCCCATTTTCTGCTAAGATTGTTGATAAAATCAGAAAAAGGAATTCTGATCAGTAAAATATGGGAGTGATCATTGGTAAAATTGTTATATAGTTTTCCTCAAATATTGTGATTCATCACAGTGACCTAGTAGGCCTGTAGAGAATATTGAAAATTGATTTTTTAAATGTTCTTACTTGGAATCATTGAACTAAAATATATTTTAGTTCAATGCTTGGAATAGACCTTTATAAAAAGGTTGACGTCAGCAGGCTTGTGACGTAGTTTGCGGAGGAATGGGAAATCCCGAAATCTCAGAGTTGTTTACTTGTTTTGAGTTTTTAAAAGCCAAAAGAAACCAGTATTATGGTATCATATTCGTCGTAGTTTAAATTTTATCTGTTTTTATTGTTGCAACATATATAAGTGAAGTTAGACATAAGTCTATTATTTTTATCGATATAGTTGAAGTGAACATACATAACAAGTAGCTTTTGTCAATCGTGTATAACACTTCGGGTCTGGGTCCGATAATCTTTAATTTTCTATCAAGGTTTTGTCTTACTGTATAACATGATAATTTAGAATGATTTTAGATATTTTGAAAATGTACATTACTTGGAAATGTATTGCATATCCCAACTATAAAGCTGCTCTGAAGCAAACTTTATAGGTTTTAAAATGATCTAAAAGTTTACACAGAAGTACAGAACCGTATAGTATTTGTAAACAGCTCCGCTTTCGTTTCTGAAGATTTAATTTTTAAATCTCTACACTTCAGACGAAATTTTAAGTTATTTTTGGTAGCTTTTTCAATATCCTTGCCAATTTTGACCCGGGTATATTATATGTCCTTTTCTGTCAATGATATTGATAAAATACTTATCAGTCTTTACATTGACATTGTGTACAAGAAGTACTCGGAGAGTCATTGACATTGTGTACAAGAAGTACTCGGAGTTTAAATTCACTTACGTGCCTCTTTGCACGACCACTAAGCCTGTGTATTGCTATCTACAGCTTGATTGGGGCCATTCTGATGATTATATTAGACTGATGAATTTGAGAAAGAAAAAAGAAAAATTAAACTTTTTAGCAACAAAATATGTAAAAAAACCGAGAGAACAATTTGCTAAATGATGACAGTAAAATAATGTACAATCTAATATAAAAACAGATAACATTTAAACTACGACGAATATGAAAATTCATTTGGTCTATATAGAAAAGTTTGCTTCAAACTTACCATAATACTGGTTTCTTTTGGCTTTTAAAAACTCAAAACAAGTAAACAACTCTGAGATTTCGGGATTTCCTCCGCAAACTACGTCACAAGCCTGCTGACGTCAACCTTTTTATAAAGGTCTATTGAAAGGGATTAAGTAGGGCAATGAGTGGGCACTGGGCATGCCCTAATATCTTTGATAAAAATGAGGTGTCAAGCCCCTCATTGAAATTTTATCAAAACACTATCAGAGAAGACAGTAACTACAATGCCATCTGTGCTCCACATTAGTTGAAATGTGTTCTTCCTACAAATGACATGCACATTGTATTCCCCACAAAAGCACCATGTATAAAGTTAGTAAATAACACAAAATACTGATACAATACATGTATGGTTTCATATTGCTTGCAGGAAATTTAAAATTTCCAAAACACTTTCAAGATACAAAGAGCTCTAATATACTATAGCATGAAAAATTGTAACCATTTATATAACATATCAGCCATATTTAAGGAGTGTCAGGGCTGTCAGGAGTGCCAGGGATGTCAGGAGTGTCAGGGTTGTCAGGACTGTCAGTGATGTCAGGAGTGTCAGGGTTGTCAGGACTGTCAGGGATGTCAGGGATGTCAGGAGTGCCAGGGATGTCAGGAGTGTCAGGGTTGTCAGGACTGTCAGTGATGTCAGGGCTGTCAGGAGTGCCAGGGATATCAGGAGTGTCAGGGTTGTCAGGAGTGTCAGGGTTGTCAGGACTGTCAGGGATGTCAGGGATGTCAGGAGTGTCAGGGTTGTCAGTGATGTCAGGGTTGTCAGGACTGTCAGTGATGTCAGGGTTGTCAGTGATGTCAGGGTTGTCAGGGATGTCAGGAGTGTCAGGGTTGTCAGGAGTGTCAGTGATGTCAGTGATGTCAGGGATGTCAGGAGTGTCAGGGATGTCAGGACTGTCAGGGTTGTCAGGACTGTCAGGGTTGTCAGTGATGTCAGGAGTGTCAGGGATGTCAGGGATGTCAGGACTGTCAGGGTTGTCAGTGATGTCAGTGATGTCAGGGTTGTCAGTGATGTCAGGGTTGTCAGTGATGTCAGGAGTGTCAGTGATGTCAGGAGTGTCAGGGATGTCAGGAGTGTCAGGGATGTCAGGGTTGTCAGTGATGTCAGGATTGTCAGGGTTGTCAGTGATGTCAGGAGTGTCAGTGATGTCAGGAGTGTCAGGGATGTCAGGAGTGTCGGGGTTGTCAGTGATGTCAGGGTTGTCAGTGATGTCAGTGATGTCAGGAGTGTCAGGGTTGTCAGGGATGTCAGGAGTGTCAGGGATGTCAAGAGTGTCAAGGATGTCAGGGTTGTCAGGATTGTCAGTGATGTCAGGAGTGTCAGGGATGTCAGGGATGTCAGTGATGTCAGGGTTGTCAGTGATGTCAGGGTTGTCAGTGATGTCAGGAGTGTCAGTGATGTCAGGGTTGTCAGGAGTGTCAGGGATGTCAGGGTTGTCAGGGATGTCAGGACTGTCAGGGTTGTCAGGGTTGTCAGTGATGTCAGGAGTGTCAGGGATGTCAGGAGTGTCAGGGATGTCAGGAGTGTCAGGGATGTCAGGGGTGTCAGGGATGTCAGGGTTGTCAGGACTGTCAGGGTTGTCAGTGATATCAGTGATGTCAGGAGTGTCAGGAGTGTCAGGGATGTCAGGAGTGTCAGGGATGTCAGGAGTGTCAGGACTGTCAGCGTTGTCAGGGATGTCAGGTGATCACTAATTGCCAGGGTTGTTAGGACTTGTCGGGAAAAAGAATAAATAAAATAAAAGTATGATGACAAGTGAGATGAAGACATGTTTAGGCTTGCCTAAGTTGCAGCACAAACCAAGTTGATTTTGTCAGTACCTGACAAATACGATTAGCAATTGATATGAATACCAAATCTTGCATGGTATCGGGTGGGCAGCTCCAGTGGTTTTTATGAGTATAAAACAATGCTCAAGACAAGAGTTTTTATTGTCAAATGTCAAACTTTTAAGCAAATAAATAATACTACAGCAATTATGAGTACCTGCAATAGAAAGTCCAAACATTGCCATCCTTCGTTCAATTGTCCGTTGGCTAACTCCGATCACCTTGCTTATATCGGCTACTTTAAATCCCTTTTCTACAAGAAACGATAATTGGTCTTCCTTGATATCGAAACTTGGTCGGCCTCTCCTTCCACAGTTTACTACTGGCACTGTTTCGCTACATTCTGGGTTCCCGTTGTTTGCTTGGTCAAGATTAAACAAAATATTTGATGCTTGTTGTACACGTTCAACAACTGAATCATCGACATCCAAATTCACGAGCAACCGTTGGAGATAGTCTAGTTTTAATAAAAGTCTTTGGAAATCGATCGAAGTATCTCCTGACTGCATAAATCTATCAAGGATATTAATCACGCTATGAACTGCGTCCAACAGATATTGTTTGTCATCATCGTCCATTTTGCTCGACTATAGTATCAGTGTATTTTAATTATACCATAGATTACAAGAAGAATTTTAGGAAATAGAACATCGGTAGCAAGCCCGCGATATATGGTCACAAAACGAGCCCGCGATCCATGATATATTAGTGGATTGCGGTTGGAAAAAAAAAGTTGTGTTGAAAAAAAAAGTTGTGTTGCAAATAAAAAGTTGTGTTGAAAATAAAAAGTTGTGTTGCAAATAAAAAGTTATGTTGAAAATAAAAAGTTGTGTTGCAAATAAAAAGTTGTGTTGAAAATAAAAAGTTGTGTTGAAAATAAAAAGTTGTGTTGAAAAAATTTGTGTTGAAAAAAAAAAGTTGTGTTGTAAAAAAAAAGTTGTGTCGCAAATAAAAAGTTGTGATGAAAATAAAAAGTTGATTTTTGGCGGGGATGGGACACCATAGTATATGTATACCTGTATATCTAACTATCTAACTACAGACGGTACCGTTTCGGCCTTTTGGGCCTTATCAGTGTAGTGCTGATGAGCAGGATAAAAGTAACTAGTATTAATAGTTACCTTTGATGTCTCACGAATGTGGGACATCAAACCATTGCCAGAGTGCTCAAAATAACCATAGTGGCTTTTGGATTGTACTTCGTCTAGTACAAAAGATTGAAAAGAATATATTGTTTGAGGAACGTCAGAATATCAGAGGTGCGAGACAAATGAAGGCTGAAAGAACACAACTACAAGACTTTACTTTTGAAACACTAAAGTTTTGATTGAACGTTGGTGATACATCGTTGAAAACTATTTAACAAAAATGCTATCAACAGTTTGTTTTACAAGATATCTTAAAGCTTCAGCAGCTCTTGAAATTCTAACATCTAGCTCTCATGCAACTTTATTGTATGTTATTATTTAAGAAAAAAGGTCAATAAAATTATTAAAATTGTAGAATATTAAACGATATATTATAGTAGAAAATGTTTCTAAAATTTAAGCCTTGGAACAACAAGTTTCTGTTCATAATGTTCTTAGTTATCTACCTTTAGTCTTTACCAACATTCCGGCAACGTTCTTGAACTACCTTGTGGAACTACAACAATTCTTTTCGTAGTTTTTGCAGAATCCTAATTTTAGTTCGTCTGATATCGAGCTTCCGTATACCAACAACATGCGCACCACAATTGAACCACATTCGCGTGTACATGATGTACATAGTCATAGTCGTTATATATAATGATTGTTTTTATCTCACCGATTATCCCATATATTTTTGAAAGCTCTCATAACCACAAGAGTTAATTACGGATTCCTGGACGGTTTTGTTACTAGGATGCCTTTCCACGCACCTGATTTGGTAACATTTGTCACTGTGGGAGCAAAAGCCGCCGTTTCATTTTCGGTGTTTCAAACCATGCAGCACAAATATCTATAGTTAAAGCCATTAATCACAACTGTTGCACCGCTATAAGCCTCACTTTACCCGTCTCTTTGCCGTTGGAATGTTATAAGTCTATGTTTAATTTAATTGAAGTTTTTGAATAACAGATGATTTTGCAGTTTTTAGTGAACGAGAATGCATGGCATGACACAAATATACTCCGTTCGAAATAGTCAGCTGAAGGTGTTAATATTTATAACTGGTATATCAGCCATTAATTTATTTCCCTCATTTCTTTGTTCACTCAGAGTATATACGAGTGAAGAACACATATTGTTCTGTCGTCCAGATTAAGGTAGGAGCAAAAGGTTGGCATTTTATTCATAGTAGTTATAATTATTGCTTTCATCAGTGTTTCACTACGTCGCAAAATGGAGGTTGAATTTCAACGTCATTTTCCACAGATAGAAAAATATGCTTTCGTGATTGAAAGTTCAAATGCATCCTGTCTCTATGTCTAGATTGTATTCCAGATAGATAGTGATTCGGTGAAAGTATTTACTGACGTTTTGTTTTTGCCATATTGCTTGCTTCATGCCCCTTGCTATCATCGATGTTCATCCACGTTTCAGAAGTTAGAGTTATAAACTGAGAAGGAGGTTTATAACTGATATATTGCCCCCGAGGACGCGCAGCGTCCGAGGGCAATATATCAGTTATAAACCGACTTTCGAGGTTTATAACTAACATATATCTCATTTGTAGAGGTTTTCTAACATATTTGGTCATTTTCAAAAATTTTTGATGAAAAATTCTCGCGTTTTGTCAAAAAGTTTGATGTAATTATTTATTCAAGGTATATTAGCTAGTTATAAACCTTGGACGATCAAAGAACACCGACACAAATGAGATATAATGTTGGTTATAGTTCAATTATATTTTTTTACAAATACAGAACCCAATGCTGATCTGTGTCACATACATAAACATAGTTATTCTGTTACACGTTCAAATGTATGAGTAACGTATCCTGCATGTTTCTATCTTTTATTTAGTTGAAAACGTTCTTCCGATATGCATACCATTAGCTTATGGCAAGATAGAGCGTTTTCAAATATCACTTTTCTACAGGGTGTCCCAAAAAAACGAAAACTATTGATATCACTAATAACAATTTAATTGTTAGAATTTGAATGCCTTAGCGCTCTGTTGGTTCCCACGTGTGCATAAATGATTGACATAAGTAATTTTTATGCATAAAGAAACTGTTTAAGAAGCTGTTTTTAATTCCCAGGAGCAGAAAATTGCGCACTTTACCAAGAGATATTCCTAACTAAATTCTAATACATGCACCTTGTCAATATTTTACGCATCATTACGTCCAGCTGTTTGGTAGGGCATTCAAATTTAACAATAAGTGATTTCAATAGTTTTCGGTTTTTTTGGGACACCCTGTAGTTTTGAGAACATACAGTAGCATAGCCAGCCCGACGATTTAGTCCCGCTATGCATGGGAATATTTTAATGTTCATTGACTGTGAAAACAATCAATTTCTAAAGAAATGAATAATGATAATAATTTTGAATTTGCCGAGCGGGACCAAATTGTCGGGCTGGCTACGCCACTGAGAACATATAACAAAGACATTTTTGAGAAAATAACTATGAAAATACCTTTGTTATATCTAAGAAATGTTGACTAGGACGTTAGCTTGCAATTTAACAGTACTGCACGCAGTGAATCAAACATATATAGGCACTTTAAAACCCAATTTCGAACGCTTACTTTAATAAAACATTTGTTTCATTTTTTCCAGGAATTAGATCCATTAGAAATTTTCAGTCGTTAGCTTGATCCAAAACGAAAATAATGAATGTAAACCATTTGCATTAAAAAGGCTTATTTAGTTTGAAACAAACTTGCATCAGCCCTATTGCAATGTTGTTTTTACCGACCAGGTTTTAACATAAGCAGCCAGCAAATACTCTGTTATATCACAAAAAAAGACATGAGACAGGCACAAGAATATCGCTGGATAGCAAAAAAAAAACACTTAAAAATTTAAATATTATTTCAATTTGTATTTCATAATCACTGATTGATCTGGTTAATTTAGGCAACTCTTTAGGTTGGTTTTCCAAATATTGGAAGCAAAGACGAATTCAAAATTCCCAACAAATGTAACCAAGCATATGTAACCCCACTTTTGTTGCCGCAAACTATATTAAAGTGGCACTCTCGTCGTAAACGAAAATGCTCCTAAAACTGTATAGTAATTTCTTTAGTGAGGCGGATATGTGTAAAATTATTGATCAGTAGTTCCCGTTGAGGTTAAAAGCATCAAACTTTTACAATTGGTGTAGTTTTATTTGCTTAATAGATATTTGAAGTGGGGCCATCGCTATTTTGCTGCTAACTCCTGAAAACGGGTGATTAGTGATTTTCTTCTATTGAATTCTATTATAGCCAAAAAATGTGAAATTTTGTATTCAATTACAACAAATATGACTTGCATCATCAGAACGCTTATAAAAACTGCATAAAGGACGTTTAGACAGTTTTTTTGATTTCTGAAATAGTTTTCGAATTATAAACTGTTAAAAACGCATTTTCAAATATCGAATAATTAATTAGGGACTTTTAGCGAGATAATGTGCCTAATTTACAGCAATAACCGTTTGAAAAATAAAAAAATTGTTTAAAAGTCTTTTATGTAGTTTTTTACAAGCTTTCTGATGATGCAAGTTATATTTGTCGCGATTGAATTCAAAATTCACATTTTTTGTTGTAGTAGAATTTAATAGCAAATAATGCTAACAGCATCGTAACTCTCTAAAAAAACAGTTTCACGATGGCCCCACTTTTGCATGTTGTTCTACTCAGGGCCGCCCAGAGGGGCGGGCAAAGGGGGCAAATTGCCCCGGGCCCCGAGTTGCTGGGGGCCCCTGAAAAATTTTTGTAGGGCCCCAGCCTTTGTGTAAAATATTTCCGCGCAAAGGACAAGATATCTGTTTTCTTGGGCTAAGTACGGAATTTTGGCTTAAAAAAATGAGATAAAGTCCCTCGAAAGCATTTGCAAGTACTCGTGCGGCAAAATTTAGTACTCCGGAAAAAATGTTTTACCCCTAAAATGGTATACTGACCGAAAATGTTTTGGCGACGGGGGGGGGCTAAAAAAATTTGCCCCGGGCCCCCGCCAACCTCTGGGCGGCCCTGGTTCTACTCATAAAAAGATGGTACTGTGCACAATTTGGTGCTTTTAACACTCTTCGGAAACATCCATGCACATATCCGCCACACTACTTTTGAAGATATTTGTTCCCATGCTCAGAGATATTTCATTTTGTTTGTAACCATGTGACGTCATTTACTCAATTACATATATAATGAGATATCATTAATTGTTGTATATCTTTGCTATTTTTGATGGATTTGTTTTTAAAAAACAGTATGTTTAATGATGTAGATTAAATTAACAAACCCGCCTCATTTTTGGAAAGATTTTGATAAGAATAGCAAAGATGTACAACAATTAGTGATATCTCATTATTATATGTAATTGAGTAAATGACGTCACATGGTTACAAATAAAATGAAATATCACTAAGTATAGGAACAGAAATTTTCAAAGCAAGTTATTATACAGTTTTACGAGCTAGCACTTTCTTTTAAGAAAATAAAAATTTTGACGAGAGTGCCACTTTAAACTTTTTAGCTTATACATTTCATTCACTTCTGCCATTTATAACATAGCAATGTTTTAGCTGTTGTGAAATTTTGTAAGATCTTTGTAACGCTGCCGTTATTCGGTTATCACTCAAAGGTTTTCAGAAATCACTGCACACGCCCTACACCTCCCGGTGCGGCTAGCCTTATATTTATTTACAAATGATTGACAATAACAAACAAGCCATTGTTAGGGCTGAATAAGCGAAATCCATGTTAATATAGGTAATCATGCGATGGCGGGTACAATTAGGGATTACTAATACTCGTGATGTTTGGAAATTTTGCCAAAATTGGACGAGCCGCAGGGGCGAGTCAAATTTGGCAAATTTCCAAACATCACGAGTACTGTTAATCCCTAATTGTACGAGCAACATTGCATGATTACTTGTTTATTATTAGCATGACAAAATTGGATACTTCTCAATGTCAACATTATATTCTCTCGCCAAAGCCCAGTCCTGCTAGACATTCAACCAAAATTTGGTGCTTTTGTTCGTATTTTCATTTTGTTCTTTTGTTAAAGCAAATTTTGGTGCTTTTGTTCGTATTTTCATTTAGTTCCTCTGGGGCAATTTCATTTCACATCTGTGTTTCTTTCCGCCATTTTGTTTGTTTTGGGACAAAATCATTAATTGTACTGCAGTACAATTAATGAAATAATTGTACTCCTCTCAACCAATCAGCATCCAGTAATTTTGTCATGCTAATGATAAATACTGTTATTTGTAGTAACATTGCCAATTAGTAGTTTATGATTCAATAAGAAAGATCAGAATTACTGACAATAATTCATATACTTACCACAGGTCAGATGTCGGCCAGAACTTTAGGTTGACTAAGCAATCTTTTTCTTATGACTATTAAAGAGCTTTACTAAGGCAATCATTGGATTAAATGTTTTAAATATTTAAAATTGAAAAACAAAAACGATTGCTAAGTTACCGGATCAACGTTCAATATTAAATAAAACTCTATTTCTCCCACTGTGTTCTCATGAAGAGACAGCTAGCTATGGCAATTAAATTGTTACATTGTCTAATCTTTTAATCTCTTAAAACAAGTTAAGGTGCATGCAAAAAAGGCTATAATAGGAGCATTCTCAGAAGTTTATTATACTGCATTGCAATACTATTTTAGCTCATGCTTGGAACGGAAACATTACTAAAACGCACGATAACATTTTAATTATACATGATACTGCTGAAGATTAAAATCATCGTTAAATTGAAGCAGAAAACATCTCACGAGATTTTTCTCTGATTTCCTTAATCTCAATCTTACGGAACTTCGTGTCTTCCCCATAGACGGTAAATGGAGCCCAGATCCTACTGGATCGGTAAGCTTTTATTCCGTGTTTCTGAAAGAGGTTCATTGTTCTTCTTAAAGCTTCGCAAACTGATATTTCTTGGCAAAGTTCGCCATAGAATTTTTCCATAAACTCTTTAGTGGCATTATCGTCAATGGGCCATAGTGTGGCAAGAACACAGCGCGCTCCGGCTGCAAGAAAAGCTCGAGTTATACCTATGACGCCTTCTGAAGAAATTTTACCTTGCCCGGTATGGCAGCAGCATAAAACTACCAAGCGAGCTTGCACTGAAATATTCAGAATATCTCGCTGTGTGAGAAGATATGACTCTGGCTTGGGAACAGCCAAACATGGCTGCACTTGGGAAGAGTTTGGCGCAAGCATTATTTCACCATGATTTGGTTCACCATGGGCAGCAATATGGACTATACTAGCTCCACTTAGATGTTGCAATACAACCTCTTTCCTTGCTTTGAGTCCTAGAAAAGGCCTAGCTTGGAAAATATTTGACAGACATTTAACTTCTTCAGCGGCATTAGGCAAGTCAGAGGGTGTAACATCTTCTCCGTTTAAAGAAACTCGTCCAACAGTTGGATTACCAACAAACAAAGCAAAACCAAAGTTTGAGTCATAGGAGTGTTCCATGGTACATTTCAGGGTATGCAATGAAGGTGTAATTTGAACGCTGTAACTGTTAGATAAATAAAAGCCATTATCATCGATTAATGCTGAAAACGGTGTAAAAAACAATAGCGGGTCAGGGACGACAATGAGCTTAGTGCCGTTAACAAGATCTTTCACCGGATCGACTAAGAGTTTGAACAATTTTTCCAAAATTTCTTGATTACTCAAATTACTATAGCAAGCAGTATCACCAGCCGTACTTTTAGAGAATGGCTTTCTGTTTGGCGTTTCGAATTGAAAAACTATTTGATTACGAGTGTCAGTAACTGCATTGGAGTTGCAAAACGAAGAATTCCGATCAATACCAACATTTACCCTCCGAAGAAGTTCCGTAATTAGAAACAACAATGTTTCCAAACATGCATCTAATTTTCTAAAGATAACTTCACCATTTAAAACCCAAACATTAAGACAAGCTTTCAAATCAAAAGCAAATAGTAAAATTGAGGTATCATTTTCTCTTAAATGGAGAAACGTTTGCATGTCTTCAATTTCTTTTCCCTCTTCTCTGGTCTCGATTCTATTCCAGATCGCATGCGCATAGTTGGGCATGTCCTTGTTCACAGAATTCTTATGCTTTTCAACGCAGCAATGGAGCTCTTTGGCCCTACCAAGGTCAATGACTAATAATGCGGATTCAATGCGTTCCAAAGAAAGGAAACAACTCATTAAAATTCTATGACTGGCGAAATATTGATTTGTGAACGACAGCTTATTTTGATCCGGAACAAAATTTAAAAACATTCTATCGAAGATAGTAATTGACTCCACTAAGTGTGATGTTGCAACTTCATACTCTCTAAGACATTCATGCGCATTTCCCAATTTGCTATGGCTACTTGCTATACTTGACCGACTGCCAATTTCAATACTCACTTCCAAATCTTTCTTGTAATACTCAATGGCCTTCTGATATTCTTGTAAACTAAAATAGGCATTGCCGAAATTGCCATTCCCACTTGCTATTCCTGACCGATCCCCAATAGTAGTGCTTATGTCTAAACCTTTTTTGAAATACTCAAAGGCCTTCTGACATTCTCCTAACCTAAGATAGGCATTGCCCAAATTGCCATTTGTAATTGCTATTTCTGACCGATCCCCAATAGCAGTGCTTATGTCTAAAGCATTTTTTGAATAGTCAATGCCCTTTTGATATTCTCCTAAACTAAGATAGGCATCGCCCAAATTGCCATTCTTATATGCTATTCCAGAACGATCCCCAATAGCAGTGCTTATGACTAAACCTTTTTCGTAATAGTCAATGGCCTTCTGATATTCTCCTAAACTGGAATAGACATTGCCCAAATTGCCATTGATACTTGCTATTCCTGACTGATCGCCAATGGCAGTGCTTATTTCTAAACTTTCTTTGTAACAGTCAATGGCTTCCTGATATTCTCCTAAATTGAGGTAGGCATTGCCCAAATTGCCAATGTTACTTGCTATTCCTGACCAATTGCCAATAGTAGTGCTTATTTTTAAACCTTCTTCGTAATAGTCAATGGCCTTATGATATTGTCCTAAACCTACATAGACATTGCCCAAATTGCAACTGATATTTGCTATTCCTGACTGATCGCCAATAGCAGTGCTTATTTCTAAATTTTTTTTGAGATAGTCAATGGCCTTCTGATATTCTCCTAAATTGACATAGGCATTGCCCAAATAGCAATTGATACTTACTATTCCTGACTGATCGTCAATAGCAGTGCTTATTTCTAAAATTTTTTTGTGATAGTCAATGGCCTTCTGATATTCTTTTAAATTGAGATAGGCAATGCCCAAATTAACGTTGTTAGTTGCTATTCTTGACCGATCGCCAATATCAGTGCTTATTTCTAAACCTGTTTTGTAATGGTCAATGGCTTTCTGATATTCTTTTAAACTATGATAGGCATTGCCCAAACTGCCATTGTTATTTGCTATTCCTAAAGAATCGCCAATAGCTGTGCTTATTTCTAAACCTTTTTGGGAATAGTCAATGACCTTCTGATTTTCTCCTAAACTAAGATAGGCAACGCCCAAATTGCCAATGTTTCTTGCCATTCCTGACCGATCGCCAATAGCAGTGCTTATTTCTAAACCTTTTTGGTAATAGTCAATGGCCTTTTGATATTCTCCTAAATTAAAATAGGCAACGCCCAAATGGCTATTGTCACTTGCTACTCCTAACTGATTGCCAATAGCCACATTTATTGCTATGCTTATTTTGTAATAGTCAATCGCTTTCTGATATTCTTTTGAACTAAGATACACATTGCCCAAATTGCCATTGTTATTTGCTATTCCTGACCGATCGCCAATAGCAGTGCTTATTTCTAAACATTTTTTGTAACAGTCAATGGCTTTCTGATATTCTCCTAAACATCGGTAGGCATTGCCCAAATTGTCGTTGACACTTGCTATTCCTGAACGATCTCCAATGGCAGTGCATATTTCTAAACTTATTTTGAAATAGTCACTGGCCTTCCGATATTCTCCTAAAACTTGATGGGCATTGCCCAAATTGCCATTGTTACTTGCTATTCCTGACCGATCCCCAATACCAGTGCTTATTTCTAAACCTTTTTCGAAATATTCAATGGCCTTCTTATATTCTCCTAAATCGAGATAAGCATTACCCAAATTACCACTGTTTCTTGCTATTCCTGACTGATCGCCAATAGCAGTGCTTATTTCTAAACCTTTCTTGCCATAGGTAATAGCTTCTTCATAATTTCCCTTGCGTCGATAGGCATCGCTCAAGCTGTAATTGCTATTTGCTACTTCTAACCCAACACCAATTCCGGTGCTTATTTTTAAATTTGTTTTGTAACATGTTATAGCTTGTTCGTATTCTGCTAGACTAAGATACGTATTTCCTAACTTTGTATTGCTTCCTAACATTCCAGACCAATGGCCAATTTCAGTGTAAATTTGTAAACTTTTGTCATAATTCTGAATGGCCATTCTTTTCTCTCCTAAAGTAGCATACAAATCACCCAAATGATCGTTGCATTTTGCTATTCCTAACGGATCGTGATTTGAAATACAAGTTTGTAAAAACTTTTCGTATATGGCTATAATAGTTTTGGAAGCCATTGTATTACCTCTTTAGTTAACCCTGTTCTTCTTGATCGATCTGAAACAAAGACATATAAGAACTTAGTATAAATTTTGCATATCAAATGAGCTTTCGCGCGTTCTGATTGGCTAGTTGACTACTAAATCTGACGCATTATTTACTAGCAGACTAGTAAATAATGCTTTTCAAAAAGGATGATTTAGACCGTGGGCTGACTCCCCAAAAAGTGGCTGAAAATCGAAATTTTTGTTGCCCCCGTCGCGGTGCTAACATTTCTTAACGCATACCTACAGATTTCGATGCGCTGAGTTCGATTTTTTTGTTCCCACTCGCGATAACCCGCAGTTATTTTGTAATTTATCTATGAATTTCCATATCTCTAGCCAATTACGCAATTCTCGGCGTCTTTGATCATGTCTGATTTTACATGAAGTTTTACGCATGTTTCCGGTTTGCAGGCTCATATTTGCAAATATGGCGGAGATGAGCTTGGGTGATTCTCCTTCATGTTTAATTCATTTCGAGGGAAAATCAGGGGAATTATGCAAATTAACGACTTATACACTTGTTAAAATTAAAGAATATTGTAATAAGTGGGTAAATTTGGATGGAGAGCTGAAAGAAATTGCTAGTAAATTAGTAAATGTTGTGAGACAATGGCCGGACATCGAGCCAGAATTGATGCCTACAGGAACTGGTGATTTATATTATCACAAAGAGTGCTACGTGCGGTTTTGTGACAAGAGCAAGGTCGCAAGGGCCAAAACTCGAACAAGCAAGATCAAGGAAAAAAGTTGTGCGACCGAGAAAGGGAAGCAAAGCGATCAAGACAACGAACAAGGAGAGCATTTGCAACCTATGCGCTCATCAGCTCGGATAGCGCCCATAATTTCCGGTACCGCTTCTGTAGAAAGACGCACAGCTCATGTAATGCCAGAATTATGCATTATAGGTAAAAGAAAAGATGCATACATAATGGACAGGGTAGGTACTGTTTCTTTTTTACTATAAATGATCACCCAAGACAATTTTTGATGACTTTAGAATTAATAGTTGTTATTCTTAACACAGAGAACAAGAAAAAGAAAGCTAGACAAGCTAGTCAAAGCAGAGACGTTTGATGGTGGCTTATTACGGCAAGCTGCTAAGGGAAAAAATGATGATTCAATTTTGACACACATCAGGGGGAAAGACTGTGTAGCCATTGAGGTATTACCTTTATCTTAACTCTATGTATATACACTGTCTGCTTTCAATGAAATTGTCCTTTTACGCACCACTTTATACTCTCCTCAATAAGAACAATCTTGTAGGTATTGTTGGTGTGGAAGCAAGCATAATTATTGTTCTTTCTTTATATTGTTAGGTGCAGTATCACAAGAATTGTCATTTAAACTACTGTAGAACAATGACTCGCAAAGTGCCTGAAAGGAGTGATAGCAATGAACTTTACAAGCCAAGTTACAAAATTTTTTGCTCAAATGTAATTGTTGAGGAAATAACGAAGCAAAAAAAATTAAAAGGATGGGAGAATTACATAAGAAATTTGTTAAGCAAGTGCAGATAACTGAAAACGTTGATGCCAGCAATTATAGAGTATTTCGCCTCAAATCAAGACTTACCAGAGACTATCCCCAACTTGTGTTCCATCGTCCGCAAGCAAGAAACCAAAATGAATTTGTTTTCATTGAACAAATGTCTGTTGGTCAAGTTTTTGAAAGCAATTCCAGTAAACTAGAACAGTCAAACAGGTACAGTGGATCTGATGAAAGTATACTGGAACCAGTGACGAGATGGAGATTGGGTGTCAAGGACCAGCTTTACAAGAGTTATATGACGTTGCAGCAGCTTTACGGACAAGTATAAATGAATTCAAAGACATGCAAATGCCCTGGCCACCTATATCTACTGACTTTTCACAGGAACAAGTACTACAAATGATTCCTGTGAAGTTATTTAATTTTATTAGTTGGTGTTTTGGCTTTTCTGATGAACCTGAAATGAATTCGCATGTTACACTTAACGAAGGACATTTGAAAAAGGTCCTATCCATATGCCAGGACATGCTATTTATCAATTCAAATGGGAGAATGCAAACACCGAAATATTTAGCACTGGGTATGACTATTAGGCAGTTGACTCGATCTTCACAGATAACTGATATTCTTAATGGGTTTGGTCATTGTGCTAGTCGATATGCTGTTCTTACGCATGAGACAGACTTAACGAAGCTTGCCGTGACATCCAATACTAATATTCCTAAGGACGTTATCAAAGGAAAGTTTACATGCCTAGTGTTTGACAATAATGACTTGTCAGAAGAATCAAGGAATCAAACCCATGTACTTGGTGGAATTGCGATCCAAAAGGGGGGATGAAACAAGCCATGATGAGCAGCAGTCCCAGCTTAGACTTTCTAAGAAAGGTGGCAGATCATTGAAAGCTCCTACAACTGCCATATTGCCATTTCATCTTGGTAAAAAGAAGACACCCAATTTCTCAGATATTCATATGGAGAGTGAGGAAGAAAGTAGATATTGGGAAGTGCATCAGGAACTTGCAAGAAGATTAGACTTTGCTTACACACTTATGAAGATGCATCAATGTGATGTGGATTTGCTACCTGGATGGACCGGCTTTAACATGCTTCTACAGGGATCTAACATACCACCTCTATCTAAAATACGATACTTGCCCATAATTGATGGTTCCCCTAGTGAATACTCTACTTTGTACACTGCAGTGGCGTGCTGGCAGGGGGGGCCGGGGGGCCACGGCCCCCCCAGGTGGCAATTCTTGGGGGGCGCAAAAATGAAAAGGGGGCGCCGAATTTTGAAAGTGGGTGTGAAAGTTGTAAATGTATTCAGATTACCAGATCAGTAGAGAATAGAATTGGGATTAGATTAATCGCTTGAAGTACTACTACTAAATTCAAACCAAATTTCAAATTTCGACACGTTATAATGCCGTTTTCTGACCATCAGATTTCTGTCAAGTCTTCCCCCAAAGTCAAGGAAATGGCATTTCAGAGACTCTAAATTCAAAAATTTTCCTGGGGGGCATGCCCCCGGACCCCCCTAGACAAACCTCGAACCTACGGCGCTCGAACCTAGGGGCGCATATTGGTTGCCAACCATTGCCCCCCCCCCCGGAAAAATAGTACCCAGCACGCCACTGGTACACTGCTCTTCAACAGAGTATAAAGATAGCAGATGAACTTTTATTGGAACGAATTGTATTGATCTTTGATGAGGCTATATATGCCAAAATCCAACAAATCAGATGGAAGAACGAAATATTCATGTCACGATTCATTGTTAGACTTGGGGACTTTCATACTACAATGTCATTTTTGGGTGCTATTGGGGTGCTATTCAGAGATGCAGGATTACAGGTATGTTTCATTCAATAAATTAAAGTGTTGACATGCTTTCGAGTCGTGCATAAAAATAAAGATAGAAACTGTTGGTAAACAGTGTGTTAACCAACATTACAAAATCATTATTTTCATTCTAATAGGATGTGCTTGTCGAATCTGATATAATTGGACAAGGTTCAGTTGATGGAGTAATGAAGGGAAAGCGCTACAACCGTAGTATGCACTGTCACAAGGTTATGAGTGAAGTTCTTCAACGTCTTCGGTTTGAGGCATTTCTGGACTGCCTTGATGATGAAGATTCAGATCAAGTGGTAGCGGTTGCAACAGGTATGTTGAACAACTTTCAAACTGATTTTTTTCATGAAGAAATAAATGGCGAATCATTCTTGGACATAAAGGAAACATATCAAAAGTTCATTGAAGAAGAAAGTAAAGAAAACCCTACTTTTGCTTTCTGGAGCAGTTACCTGGAAATTATTCAGACCCTTTTGTGCTTCGTAAGGTAAGTTTCCGAGTATTGCCTTTCATGAATGTATAGTCGATGAAATAGTTGAATCAAGTTCTTTTTAACAAAGACTCACAAGTGGTTAACTTGGTTTTAGAGCAATACGTGAAGGAGACTGGGATTTGCATTTGTCAGCAATGCGTTCAATGTTGCCATGGTTTTTTGCCACTGATCGGGTAAATTATTCTCGCTATGGAACAGCTTACTGGCTGGAGATGACAACACTTGACGATACGCATCCAGGTACTGACAACTCATCTAAAGACTATTATCATACCATCTTGTGGAGGACCATATAGTATATACACATACACACACACACACACACACACACACACACACACACACACACACACACACACACATATATATATATATATATATATATATATATATATATATATATATATATATATATATATAATGACCCAAGCAATATATATATATATAATGACCCAAGCATGACCTAATAACCCAAGCATGCATTGTTTCGCTTAAGCATCGTTTCGCCTACACGCATTCCGCACATTCTTTCGATAGCATAAAAGCAACCTACAATTTCGAAATTACTCACCACCTGATGATTCCTATACGGATGAAACAGACTGTTGTGGTTTTTTGAGGTAAAAACTTAAATTAAAGACTCTTTATTGTAAATATTCTGACTGAAAAACTGAGCATACATTTTTGAATTACTATAGGGGTAATTAATATCACATTAAATCGAGGAGCTATGCAGTGTTGGATTCTTACTCAGTCGGAGCGATCTGCCATTTCAAGGGAGTGCATGAAGATGGCTGGTGCTGATCCATGTAACAGGTAACTTTTGAAAAAAACATTTTCCACTGTAAACGAGTTGCAGTTTGAACTTTTTAAGCGATGTTGGTTCAGCAGGATTAGTAGTCTACTGTCTAATGCGTGTTATTTAAACTATATGTAGCAAAAGGAAAGACTTAGATGAAACCCAAAAGGCTCATCATGAAAAAGAGGTTGAAAATGTGAAGACAACACTTCAGAATATGGTGAATCCATTTGAACCTGGTCGAACAGAATTGGTGCATTTGACAAGTGGTCTTGTAGCCACAGAAAATGTAAGTACTGATCCTTTGAAAGCCAACCACATTGGAGAAGAGCGCTTGGAAAGTTTTATTACGGATAGATTATTTGTACCCGAGCCAGATATCTTTGCTACAATTCCGAAGGTTAAACTGAAAACGTTTTCATCAATGACAAAGAAAGTGAAAGTCTCCTCAAAGAGTGGCGCAGATGCCACACTTAAGAGCAATCGGAACCTTTTTGCTCGCATGCTCTTGCTTGCCCAAAGTAGAGAGATTGATATGAAAGAAGTCCTGTCCTTTTGTTTGGGTCCTTTCCCTTTATCACTTTTGACGGAAATGGGGCTGTACATGTAAGTTCAGTGGTGTCAAGTAACGAAGTAAATGTACTTCGTTACTGTATTTGAGTGCCATTTTTGAGAAGTCAGCATGTAACAAAGTAAATTTTTTCTGGAGTACTTTTACTTTGAACGAAGTCGTTTTAAGAAGTAACGTTTTACTTCGTTATTTTCATTTTGTGGCGAAGTATTTCGTTACTTTCTCACATGCATTTGTTTAATTTTACGTGATTTATTCCTGATTTATTTTAATTTTGAGATAGGCAGTAGGACCTCTACATATAAGCATTATTTATTTAATGGATTTCTTATATCTTCAAGGGGTCTGGAAAGTAGACCATGCCGTGAAATATTGTATATTATGGTGCACGCATATAATGCGTGTGCTGTTTTGTGTCTTTTGTATGTCAATCTATTGGAGAAGCCCCCCCCCCCCTACACGCTACAGACAGTAGTACTTTTTATTTTTACTTTGTACTTCAAGTACTTTTTAAGGATACGTTGTACTTTTTACTTAAGTACGCTTTTCCTCCAGTACTTTTTACTCTTACTCAAGTTGTTTTATTGTTAATTACTTCTACTTATACTCGAGTACAAATTCAAAGTAACTTAGGCACCACTGTGTAAGTTTTAGGTATTTATTGGTCACGGCAAGTTCTAGCATTATTTGCCCGCTTTCATGGCCGCGGTCACCACACTTGAAACATACGCCACCTATGCTTCAATTAACGAGTACAATGCCTTAATCTGAATTGGAAGAAATGATACTGTTATATAGATGTTGATGTTATTATGACTTACCAAACTGAAAGAATCTTTCGTTTCAATTCAACCTCTACATTATGTTTGATGTTTGTCGACTTCCGTCTTTATAACTCGAAATATCTGCATGTAAAATATATACATGTTAGTACTGGACGTGAGCAAGTAAAGTAAGATACTAAAATACTTTTTTGAAATATAGGCGCGGGCTTTTTGTTTTTGCGTGTCCCTTATTTAATGCCAATATTACAAACAGAAAGTTTGGCGACAAATCATCGGCACATAAAGCTGATGCATTGAATATAACTACATCTATACTGAGCAATGAAGTTATAAAAACTTTGAAATCGGCTAAGAATATATTGATTATAAATTCAAAATACATAACTAGAAGACAAATAAATGTATTATACCTTAAAATTGTTTACCTCGTTGATTGAACTTCTACTTTCATTTTGCTGTATTTGTCTTCTGCGTTACGCCACGTACAGCTTTAGCACAAATATATGTTCCTCTATGAATATAATGTAAGTTAATTAAACGCTTCATAAATCTTCTATTGAATTGCTTTCACACCAGTCAAATATTTAAAATAGTTTCCAACCGACCTTAATTACAACATAGGCATAGCTTGCAGCCGGGTCACAGTCAGGGTAATACTATATAAACAGTTGTGTAGAACAAGGCGGACAGTGTAGGGGCGGATCCAGGGGGTATCGAGTGTAGCTCAAGATACGGTCAGATGTTTCCGATTAAGGACAGTAAAAGAGCTTTGGGGATAAATTCACTATTAATATATTTTCACGCAATTCATTTCTGTTTACAAAAAATAGTAAAAATTTAAGTTTACTAAGACGAACGAGGGCAAATTCTTTCAAATTTAAAAATTTACAGCTCTAAATGTAACATTAGCCGTGTTTTTAAAGCATTGAATTATTTTCGACTAAGATGAGCCGAGAGCTTTCCGAAGGCATAAGCCGAGGTTACGTATCCCGATCGGAAAAATGTTTCTAAATGCGTCTGCGGTGTTCTGATATATACGGTCCGCGGTTCAAATGTTACTAAAAATAGTGACTTAATGAGGTATTTGGATACCTTGGAGGGTATCCAGCCAATCACAAGACGTGTATCTATGACTTCGGATATACCCTCTGATCTGTGGCTGTATTTTGATTGCGCAAAAAATGAAATAATCGTGAACCGCTCGGAAACTTTGTCTCATATTGCTAACAGCCGCATTCTTCTAAGACAATCTATGGAAATTTTTTATTTGTAATGTAAAAGCACTGTAAGCAAGAAAACAAGGACAAATTCGATATAAACTGCAATCTCGTACCCAGAGCAATGTCTGTGCGCGGGCTAGGAAGGCATTGGCTCTGGGGAAATAATTTTTTTCCTGTGCTGTGATTAGTTTAATGTTTATCAATAGTACATGCCTACAAGAATTTTCGCCCCCCCCCCCTACAATTTCGCCCCCCGGGGGGCGAAATTCCTAGGAATATCGCCCCCCTTTAGGAAATTCGCCCCCCTTTAGAAACTTCACCTTTTCTTTAGGATTTTTGTCCTCCGTTCAAAATTTCGCCCTTCCTAACAGTTGCATGGGATAATTATTACATGGCTTTAGTCATTTGAAATCAGTATCAATTCAAAATTGTTAAGACAGAGCTTGAAATAACAACCGATCAATGATCGGCATGGAATTGCTCATGATCGGCGGAAAAGCAGAGTTTCGGTTGCAACCTGAAAAAATCAGGGAAAGTCACGATCGAGAACTTTGGAAACGTTATTTCAAGCCCTGTAAGAATACAAATTTACAATTACATGTATCGAAAGGGCTTACACAGTTCACAGTTAATAGACTAAGACTTATGACGCTTCACAGCACACCATGCATATTTTGCATTTTTAGTGTTAATCCTTAAACTCATTGTTAAAAAGTAACCACCGTGGTGGTTATTGTAATTATTGGTATTGTTTTGCATCCACATTTTGTCGTTATCGGAAAATGTATGACTTACAAGTTGTCACTATTTTTACTTGCATTATTTCAATATAGTTTGTAAATTTCAGAAGCGAAGGGTAGAACTTGCCAATAAGCAATACTCCAATAATATACGTTTCAAAAAAGACAAAAAAGCTTTTCGTTTTGCAGAGTTACATTCTCGAATGTTTAAGGCACTAATAAAATCAAAATATCATGAAATTATTTGAATAAACCA